CCCACCCTGTGCTCCCACTGCACCATGTACACTCCAAGGCTGCAGGGCCCAACACCTAACTCAGCATCTGGATCATTAGAGGCCCTCAGTGACTAGACAAAGCACCAAGAGACAGGCAGATATACCGCAAGTGTGTGTGAAATTCCATGTGACCACAGAGAGAGGAAGTTGAAAAGAAAGGGCACTCAAAAATGTGCCTCAAAGGTAAGCAATGTTAAAAAATTTTTTAGTCGCTGGTTCAATTGTTAAATTTAAATTAAAAATAATTCATTCCCTCAGTTGCACCAGACACATTTCAAGTGCTCGGTATCACTTGCGTCTGGTGTTGAACAACATGTGTGTGTGTTAAGTCGCTTCAGCCATGTCCAACTCTGTGGGACCCCATGGACTGTAGCCTGCTAGGCTCCTCTGTCCATGGAATTCTCCAGGCAAGAACACTGGAGTGGATTGCCATGCCCTGCACCAGGGGATCTTCCCAACCCAGGGATCGAACCCTCCGGTCTTACGTCTCCTGCATTGGCAGGCAGGTTCTTTACCACCAGCACCACCTGGGAAGCTTGAACAACATAGTAATAGACAACTGTGAGATTTTTTAGCAACTAAATAATAAATCAAAAGGGTATCCTAAGAAGACTTGTTATCAGTAAAATCAGTAAAGGATGTGATGGTTGAGAGAAAAGAGAGAAGTTACATCTGGAATGAACGTACATGAATATGGGTACTAGAATGGTAGCAGTGAGGTGTTAAGAGGAGTGGGCAAATCTGAGATAGGTTGCAAAGAAATCACTGGTATGCCTTGATGACTGATTGGCAACGAGAGAAGAAAAAACTATTCAAGAGTGGTAGCCAGCCTCCAAACAGCCCTCAATGACCCCTGCCTCCCAGTAATCACACCCTGGTGAAGTCCCCTCCCACATTGTACCAGGGGTGGTCTGTGTGACCCATAGAATAAGAAAATAGTGATGATACCTCATTCCCAAGGTTATGTTATAAGAGATATGGTAGCTTCTGTCTGGTGGCTCTCTTTTGGATCACTTGGTCTGGAAGAAGCTAGCTGCTACTTTGCAAGAAACCCTAAAGACAGAACCTTGAGGCTAGAATTGAAGGCTGCCAACAGGCACGTGAGGGAGTTTGGGAGTGGGCTCTTCTGCCCCACGAGAGCTCTCAAATGACCACTGCCCCAGCTAACGAACTGGCTGCAATCTCATGGGATTCTGAGCCAGAACAACCCACCTAAGGCTCTCTTGGATTCCTGAGCCTCAGAATCAGAGACATAATAAATGTTTGTTGTTTTAAGTTGCTAAACTTTGGGGTAATTTGTATCAGCAACTGATAATTATTACATCAAGCACTAATAAAAAGATAATCTAATTTAAAAATGAGCAAGAGAGTTAAAACTGCTACTTTACAGGAAGATTAAAAAGTATATGAAAAAGTGCTCAATATCATTAGCTACAGGGGAAATGTAACCGAAAACCACAATGAGATAATACTATACACACACCAGGAGACTAAAATTAAAAAGACTGACAGCACAAAATATTGATAAGGATGTGGAGCAAACATAATTCTTTTTTTTTTAGGTTGAGATATAATTCATGTATAATACAGATTTACCAATTTAAATTATGTAATTCAATGGTTTTTAGTATAGTGCAACCATCACAATGGGCTTCCACGGTAACTCAGTGGTAAAAAATCCACCTGCCAACGCAGGAGATGCAGGAGACTCGGGTTTGATCCCTGGGTTGGGAAGATCCCCTGGAGAAGGAAATGGCAGCCCACTCCAGTATTCTTGCCTGGAAAATCCCATGGACAGAGGAGGCTGGCAGGTTACAGTCCATGGGTTCAAACAAAGAGTCAGACATGACTTAGCAACTAAACAACAACAAAAAAATCACAACATATTTTAGAATATTTTTATTACACCAAAAAGAAACCCATATGACTTAGCCATCACCTCCAGTTGTCCCACCACTCCTCCCAAGCCCTGCTGTTAAGTCACTTCAGCTGTGTCCGACTCTGTGCGACCCCACAGACGGCAGCCCACCAGGCTCCTCCGTCCCTGGGATTCTCCAGGCAAGAATACTCCTAAGCCCTACGCAGCCACTAGTCTACTTTCTATCTCTATATATTTGCTTGTTCTAGGCCCTCATGTCAATGGAATCATAAAAAATGTGATCTATTGTGACTGGCTTCTTCACTTTGCAGTGTTTTCAAGGTTCATTCCTGTGGTATAGCATATATCAACAGTACATTTGTTTTTATTGTTAAATAATATTTTATTGTGGGCATATATCACTTACAAAAGCACCAGTTAGGCCAACTTTTTGTTGATTATAAATAATGCTTTCAAAAAGATTTGTGTGCACTACGTTTTCATTTCTCTTGGGTGTATATCCAGAAGTGGAATTGCTAGGTCTCGTAGTAACTCTGTGTTTAACCATTTAAGGGACTGTCAGACTTCTTTTCTGAAATGGCCACGGCATTTTACATTGCCACCAGTATTTAGGATTCCAATTCCAACACCAACACCTGTTATTATCTGTCTTTTTGATTATAGCCATCCTACTAGGTGTGAAGTCACATCTGATCATGGTTTTGATTTCATTTCCCTGATGGCCAATAATATCGAGCACCTTGTCATATGATTATTGATCATTTGTACATCTTCTTTGGTCTTCCCTTGTGGCTTAAACAGTAAAGAATCTATCTGCAATGCAAGAGACCTGGGTTCAATCCCTGAATCAGGAAAATCCCCTGGAGAAGGAAATGGCAATCCACTCCAGTATTCTTGCCTGGGAAATCCCATGGACAGAGGAGCTTGGTGGGCTACAATCCATTGGGTGGCAAAGAATTGGACATGACTTAGTGACTAAGCAACAACAATATCTTCTTTGGGGAACTGTCTTTTCAATCTGCTGTCCATCTAAAAAATTAGGCTATTTGTCATTTTTTACTATTGAGTTGTTACGGTTCTTTACATATTGTAGATACCACTTCCTTACCATATATATCATTTGCAAATTTGTTTCCCATTCTGTGGATTGTCAGCAACTAGAATTCTTCATCTAAAATTATACAAAAACTGAAAAAGGTTTTAGATTACATAATTTGCCCAAGGTCATTAAACTCTCAGTGTGCTAGATGCAGGTCAGGACTGAAAACATAATTTGTGGAGCTTAGTGCAAAATGAAAATGCAGATTCCTTTGTTCAAAAATTATTAAAAGAATAGCATTAAAGCAAAGGCACAGTCCTTCTAAGCATGGGGCCCTGTGAGCCACAGATTATAAACACATAATGCTGGGGCATAGGGAAGATTTGAATTTTGGACTTATCATGGGAAACCCCATGCTTTTCAAAGTAAACCATGCTGATGATTGTTCATTTTTTATGCACACTAACTGATGGTGATGTCAGAGTTCAGTTCAGTCACTCAGTTGTGTCTGACTCTTTGCAACTCCATGGACTGCAGCAAGAAAGTCTTCCCTGTCCGTCATCAACTCCCGGAGTTTACTCAAACTCATGTCCATTGAGTTGGTGATTCCATCCAACCATCTCATCTTCTGTCATCCCCTTCTTCTCCCACCTTCAATCTTCCCCAGCATCAGGGTCTTCTCAAATGAGTCAGCTCTTCGCATCAGGTGGCCAAAGTATTGGAGTTTCAGCTTCAGCATCAGTCCTTCCAATGAACACCCAGGACTGATCTCCTTTAGGATGGACTGGTTGGATCTCCTTG